CGTTGCTACTGCCCACTACATTGGCTTAAGCCTTCTTATTCGAGAAGTGGTGATAATATAAGAATACACGGAGGCCCATTTATGTGCGCCCTGTTTTTGTGGAACATTATGGGCGGATAGGAGCCCGTACGACATCCCCAAAGTGGTTTGAGCAGGCTGAACATGGCTGCGAGAAATTGGCCGCGAGGGTGTGATCCCTTTCTCACGGTATGTTCGAGTGCTCAAGCGACAAATTTGACGAATTATGCCTGCTTTCACTTTCCCACTTGTCCACCTCTGTGCCCTTCTAACGACTACGAAACTTATACCTATCTTCAAGGCGAACGACCTCCTATCGGGAATACTAGACGAATGTGTGTCTTGATTTGGAGTCAATGCGTGCTCAAACAGTTGTTGTGTGTTCGTAAGCTCAGTTCAACTCGATGGCTGACTAACTAAGGGTTATGACAAATTTTCGACTCAGCCATCATTCAGCCATCATTAAAAAAACCATCACAGTCTGCATATTATCGATTTGTAAAATTTTTGCGCTCTAAAAATCTAGATCGCATTCGCTAAATAAGTGTTGAGCATATTTTTCATTTTGCATGCATAATTTATAATTTTTAAACTTGCAACTTTTTACCTGCTACCTTTCAAACGAGTAAAGCATGTGCTTCAGCGTGCTGGGAGAGACAGATAACTTATTAACGAAGGGTCCCTAAAGCTTCATTTTGTGGATTAGATAGCATGATTTTACCGAAGTGCCCTTTTTTAGGCCCTCGTCCATACCGATGTACGGTGTGCACAAAAAGCTTCGCCCGTGCGTATACCTTATCCTTGCACATGAAAATGCACATGACCGGTCATCGACATTTCTGTCTAATTTGTGGAAGGTGGTTCAAATCAATGACCGCTCTTGCTGAACATGAGGTTTGTTTGGGCGTGCGCTTACATTGTAAGAGTTATGTATGTTTTCGTCCAGAACACATGTTTGGCCGTATTGAATGGTGATTTCGTTAATACGGATCGGCCGTTCCGCTGGCAGTGCTCATTTTGCGAAAAAATGTTCCACCACAGGAGAGATAAGGTAATTTCTTTTTGAATGCTGTTCGCAACCTTACGCTTATTGTGAACACACCCAACTGTGAACATTATATATTTAGAATATTCATGAGAGAGTGCATACGGGAGAGAAGCCGTACACATGTGGCTATTGTGGCAGAGGCTTTTCGCAGTCACAGGTTGATTTGAATTCTCTCATTTGGTTTCTTGTCATGCCGCTTTAGTATGCCTAATGCTTTATGACTTTAGTGTTTTCTTCGCTATACAATTTGTTCAGTTCTTCTGTCTCTATCTTAGCTAAGACATTTTCGAGTATAGTCATCTTCTTTTTGGTGCTGGGCGTCATTCTGGAGAAGTGCCTGATAAAGCTTGAATATTTTTTCTTGCTTTCGGGTTCTACACTAGAGTAGCAGTGCTCGAGTAGCCGGAATGTTATGACTGCTTCCATTGTTTTCATTGATAAGAGTTTTGT